GGAAGTATCATTGGCAATGCTTGCCACTTAATTGAATCGCCATGCTGCAATAAAAAGAAGTATGAATTACACAAAACTATTCGTAGAAAAGGTCAGACAGGCCTGGCATTAGTAAATCAGTGATATAAATACTTTTTCCACCAAATTAAGCAAAAGAAAGATCAAAGCCTAGTGCGTGCTGAAGAACAGCTGAGAAGGGTCTTTATATATGACAGAAATCTTATTAAAGATCTAATCTTGCAAGGTGGCCAACAAACATACTTCCCTTTAACAAGTTCTTAATGTTTGGTCAGGTCTTGCCTCAGCTGCAGAAGGAAGCTTTACAGTTATCTCACAGCAGATGAAAGTAAGTTATACTTGCTGATGAAATTCTGTGATCATAGGAGGTAGTTATACATTTGCTCAATGTATATAGATCATGGATGTGAAATTCACAGGAATCTTTATCTCTAATAGGCTGAGTTTGGGCCCTAACATCAGGTAGAGTAATTACTGCAGCAGAACCCAATTGGTTTCTTTGTCCCACTGACTTTAAATACGGAGGCTCAGCCTACTAACCCATACTGGTTATGTAGGTTTGCAAGGGGGAAGTTTCAAGGAGTTGAGCTCCTCCTCTCCCACTTCCTCTCATTGGCAATTAGATTGTGCTAGTTTGGGTGCTTTTAGGATCTAGGATCTTTAGATCTTTTTTTAGGATCTTTATCTAGCAATAAAATGACCAGAGGAAGTAAACCTTTCTGCGAGGTCAGATCAGCAAAGATTCCAGCAGGAAGGCATGCAGAGGAGAAAGTGGTGGGACTACGAGGAAGGGATGAAAGGAAAATTAAACCTTTCCCCTTTCAATAACAGTGAGCTCTTAGATCAGCTTAATTCCCTGTCAAACCACAGCCCAGAGGTCAGGCTCACCTCTCAATACCTTTCCATGCTCCACACCAGCTGTCTGCAGGATCACTGCATAATGCATAACTTACGAATAACTGTAGAAATTGTAATGCACCTAGCAGAAAAAACAGGGCGAACAAAATTAGAGGGAAAAAAAATGGACAAAACCCCCTCACCACACCCAACTTTTTGAAGATGTCTAAAATTCTGTTCTCTGTGAAACTTAGGATGCCAATGTCATTGAACACCTCTAGTACCCAAAGCAATGGTGATATTTTAACTACAAACATATGGAGTTCACTCTCGGGGTGGGGGTATCTAACAATCTAATCAAATCTAATCAAACACACTCATCAAAAACACAGACCTCATACAAAGTATTTCCCCTTTTGCAGAGGGAGGCTGGAAAGGCAATTACAGTGTAGTGAAACAGACATAGTGTACCTCATCACAGCCATAAATGAAAATGGAGAAATCAAAGTATTTTATACATTAAAAAAGCAAAACAAAGATAGTACAAATTACTTTAAAATAGGCCACACTTAAAATTAGATGGTTTCTCAAATTGAATTGTTTATGGTATATTTAGTTTCTTACTAAAGCTACAGATAAAATCTTACATTAGAAATTCATCATAGCATGAGTTTTAGGAGAGAGATCTTTATATCTCAATTTTAAAAATTCTTACTAGACTGAATGATGCGTTTTCACCTTATGAAAGAACTAAGAAGATAAATGTTGCTGTTTCAATTGAGATTAAAACATTAATTTTAACAATCTGCCAATTTTACTCCCTTTGTTACATGTTCTTTTGGATGATTTCCAAATATTTCCTTTTAAAAAATCCATTGATTTAAAGAGATGTTGTTGGCTATTCTAAGGTTTAAATCATTCTAAATCTATTTTTATACCAAGATCTAATTTCTTCTATAGATCTATATCTTCTTTTTCTGTAAGAAATTTAAATCACTGGGAGAATTATAGCCATTAGCGTTTTCTTTCAGAAATCTGATATGTTATTTATTAAAAGTCAATACAAATTCTGTCATTGATTTTGAACAAGATACTACTGGAGTCTCTGTTCATCTGTAAGAAATTAATATAGAATCAGTGAAACAAAGCACTACTTTGCTCAGTACAGGTCTAAATATATCCTGAAAAAGTAAAAGAAAAGAACTGGTAAAAACACAATGAAGCTTCTCCAGTTTAATATAAAGTTCCCAGATATGCCCTAGCTTATGATGCATAGCATTTATTGTTGGTTTATATACAATGTTTTAATAAAGAGACAACATTACTTAATTCAGCTCTAATTTTCTGACACCTAGCAAGTAATCTCTAGGGGAAAAAAATAATGTTGATAACTTCTCACAACACAACTCACTGAAATATGAAAGTTCAGAGAAGTGTAAACTGAAAAGTACATAAGAAGGAGCATCAGCAATTTTAGAGATGAAATCAGGAAGCCAGGCACTGGTTTGCACTGGTTCAAATTAAAAGTTTCAGATCCAGTTTTTTGGGTCACAAAATTTACCGTTTTCAGTAAATATTTGTTTATATGTTGATTTTACTTCTCACAAGTAATGCCCATGCTTCTTGGTTGACTCTAGTTCAATATGCCCGAGATGACATTTAAAACCTGTCAGACTGCTGCAAAAGTGTTATTTACCCATATTGCGCTAGGTTTCAAGTGCTGAGATTTAAACTACCATAAAATTTGCATAAATATAGGGTCCAATTCTTTTTATATATTCTTAGTCAGCACAAGGATTCAGTGAAGGACAAGACTCAAACGTGCTTTATTTAGATTTCTAAATCTTTCTTTTGCAAGAGAATTCAGACAATGCAGTGGGGAAAAAAGGGAAGCAGTTTTGATATGAATATTGTTATTCTTTGTGATCAATTAAATTTTAAAAAGAGAGAATTAAAATTCAGCTCATTCTTCAAATTTTTTTTTTTATATTTTACTAATTAAACACCTCCTGCTCAACTGAATTACATAACCCAACTTTAACAATATATGAGGAGGTTTGGTAAATAGAACGGGTTAAAAAGAAAAGCATAAACCTGTGCTTTGTATTTTTTCATAAACCCATCTGCTATTCTGGGGAAAACCACACATTTTCCTTTTCAAAAATAGCCTTCAAGACCCAACACAGCAAGTGAGTGAAGCACAAGAATGCCAAGGATTTCAGCTTGTCAACAGATGAAGTTTAAGTGAAAAACCCATCCGCAGAATGGGTTTCTCAATGCCACAGTGAGTAGGTTTGCAGAACACCTCTTGCTGAGACAGGATTATGGGAATGCTTCCAAAAGCCTGATTACAAGGAGGAAAAAAAAAGGAAATTTATACAGGGCATTAGGGAATTTGCAGTTTATTTTAAATGTGATACTTGTTAAAGAGTGTCACATCATTCCACCCCTTGCATAAGGAAGTGTTGAAGTCCAACTACTCATTTGCTCTCCAGTCTCAGTGTTCAAGAAGAAAATATGAGTTTGTTAGAAGAGTGTGGAAAGAACAATGAGGGCTAGTTTGCAAAGACTGTAGTTCATGTTGTTGTAGAGAAACTTTCAAGGCACAAGACAAAGCATGACTCAGCCATAACCAAATGCAACAAGATCTGCCTAATGCACTAATACAGATGTCAAAACTATTCATATTAAAAATGTTGACTTCAGAAATATTTCAGGGAAAGATGGAAAGTGTCTTCTAAGGAAGGTCTACAGCCATGTTTCTAAACAGAAATGAAAACCAGAGGAGACATGGAAGACATTGGATAGGCCTTTAAAAACATTTGATGAAAACAAAGGGACAAAATGCACTTGGTTTGCTCTTGGGGAGGTAATTTATACAAAAAGAACCCTACTGCCAGCATTGGTTAACTATAATTAGAACTACATGTTAGAAATTAATCCAACACATATAACCGCACCTTCATAATGCCATGTCCTTATAATTTCTATGGTATTTAAGCACTTAATTCCCTAAGCATTCTATTAAAATTTCTAATACAATGACATTAAATACAAAAAGGCCCTACACTTATATTTCCTTGTACAGCTAGATGTCTAAAAACCTATGTTGTCTTCCAGTCCAGAGACAAACATATGCAGCTGGTCAAATGGTGAAGCTCAGTTTCACCCTAGAGGGAGGATTAATGGATTTGATAAACTCATTCTCTAAGAAGGAAAAAAGCTGTTTACACGCTGTCACTGAATTCACACTGATGGACAGTTGGATGATATAAGGTAGGACTGGATGTTATTGGCTACTAAATTACTTAGCTGTATCAGTTGCCACACATGGGATTGCAATAGGTGGGATGGAGAACAGCCTAATTACTTCAGCATCAGAACTTCATCAGGCTGCAGAGTGAGTCGCCACCACCACCTCAACATTATATAGGACTCAAATTCTGTGTACTTATCACTACTAAGAAAGCAAGACATAGGAATTATTTATTCTTACAAAGTTATTAGAAGATATGGGATTTAAAAGTGAGAAAACCTGCAGACTAAAATGACCATCAAAATTAAAATAACATTTTTTGCATATGATTGCATGTCAAAGACAATTTTGTCCTTTTGAAATGACACCATGAAAGTCAAAAGTATAAGTAAAATGAAAATATCAGAGATCTTCAAAGAAAAATAGTATTTTCTTTACTTGGGTCTTTAGCAGCGTAAGATTTCTCAGTGTAAGCTTGTTCCCAGATGCAAGCAGCTGCTACACACACATCTGTCCAGGAAACATATGTTTAGAAATATACACTCCTAATTTTAGTGAAGATGAATATTTTAAGGCCATCCTAAGTGAAATCAGAATACAAATGTTCAAAGTGGCTTCTGTTCAGCCACATACAACGTGACAAGCAGTTGCTTACTCTAGGACTGCAGAGGAAGCTTATAAAACCATGTGTATTTCAGTGTTTGCTGATACTTTGCAAAATTCTAGTTACATGGCTTACCGCAAATACTGGAAGGTGAGCAAGGGAATTCTAACTCTTTTCTGTTATCTAAAACTTTTAATCTAGGTTAAATCAAACTAGTAACCAGGAACTTCAGATGAGCATAGAGCCAGGAAACAAGAACACAAAATGAAGAGAAGTTCAACTTACAATTAAATCTTGAATAAGTGAAATAGAAAGTATCCTCCTGACGCTGTTTTCCACAATTACTCCAAACCAATTAAGTGCGCCCCAGTACCACAAATAACTCTGTCCTCCATGCCAATAGCTTACAAAGGCAAAAGTGAGGGCTGTGGAAAAGAGTGTTCCCAGCAGACTGGACTGAGATCCTCCCATCGGAACATAGATGTACCTGCAGGTGAAACGACAGATAAGCAACATTATTAGAGATTTCATGGAAATCTCAGAAAAACATCCACTACAGAAAATTTATTTCGTTGCATAAAAAAAGAATTTGAATAATTACCTGACATTCTCTATTTACAGGGCTTGCCCTAGTTTCTGCAATGTTATAGACCACTTCATGAAATACGTGCACGTATCATTTGGAAAAAAGACAATTTTGTGGTCATGGGAACTCTGCATTAGGCAAAAACTATATTCTCAAAATTGTGAAAGACAATGGTTCAGATTTTTTAAACCACAGTAGTCATAAGTCAACTTGTACACTCAGAAATTACATGTGACCTTCACGTGAATTTAAATTATAAGACCCTTCAAAAGGAGGCACATGGAAAAAAATGAGGGGTAATAGGTGCAAGTTACTCCTGGGGATATTCCAACTGGACATGAGGAAAAATTTTCACAATGAGAACAAACAGCCATGGGAATAATCTCTCCGGGGAAGTTGTGGATTCCCCAACATTAGACACTTTGAAGATTCAGCTGAGCAGAGTGCTGGGCCATATTGTCTAGACCATGCTTTTGCCAAGAAAGGTTGGATGATCTTTGAGGTCCCTTCCAACCTGGTATTCTATGATTCTGTGAGTCTATGATTATACTAAGTCATATATAGTCATAACCCATAAAATGTTTTCCATTTGTCAGAAATATAGACACATGCAAACATTTTTTTGATTTTTAAAAGTTTGTAATTTCTTTCTTTTTAAATCTTTCATTAAAAATTCTATGAACTGAAAATATTTCCTATCTAGTTCTTGCATTATAATCTCAAAATCATGTCTGCCTAATGACCTTCAGAGCACATATGCCAAAAAACCTCCAAAACCTATATGAAGCACCCTGCATGCAATTCTATTCTGAATTTAAACTGAATCCAGGAGTCAGAACCTTAGTCTTCAACTGATGCTTATAAATGTCAAAAAACCAGTGCTCATTCAGTAAAAATACCAGAAGCAATGGGATTCTGAAAGCTCACTGTTTTCTGGGTCACTTCACTTCCTTCCTGCCTCGAGAGCTACATCCACTCCTGGCATTTCCCAAGTAACGCATGGCCACTGGCCAGCCAAATATCTGAAAAAGTCGCATATTCCTGTCAACACTTTGAAGAAGCTGATCAGGCAACAGAGTCACCATCCAGCTCACGGGTACCAGCAAGGAGATGCAGTATATGAGAACCACTGTTGACAGTTCTCCTCAGCTGTCATTCCTTTAGCATGACACACTGTACTCATATTTGAGACTACTCCTACTTGCTAAGATAATTAAGGGAAATTTTTTGCAGTGAAATTTTTATCTGTGGTTATCAGATTTTACATTCAGAGATAAATACTAGCTTAAAAATTTAAAAGGGAAATTACCATAGTGCTTTATTCCTAATCTTAGGAAGTAAGAAAATACAGTAACAGGGTAAAATAAAGTGATAAAAGTAATTAGAAGGTAAACAGAAAAGTCATTAAATAAACAAGTGTCAAATGCTCCAAATTCTCTCTACACATAACATCAATACACCTTTTTACTTCAACCTGCTACAACCTGAAACATCTAATAACATTCACAGTGATTTTCAGTATAAGTATGCTTTTTACTAAGCATATAAAATAAATAGAAATTAAGATCGGAGGTTTTTATTTATGCTGTAGCTTTGCTCTCTCTTCCCTTCCTATGCTCTTCTTGGATCTAGTCTTATCACATATATGAAGAAATAGCATAGCAATAATAGACACTTGCAATTCCATTCAAATAGTCTAACAGAGTGGTATGTCTTAGTAGTCTGTAACAAGAGGGATCCCCTGCAGGGCTCTGGCACAGAGGGTCAAGAGAACAGTCACAGAGTACTGCTTCGGACAAATTCCTTCTATACAACGGACTATAGAAATGAAAGACCAAAGCATGTCATCCCCTCTTAGGAGGTACTTTTCCAGTATCTTCCCTCTCCCTTTTTAAAGGCTGATTGTGTTATTTTATAGGCAGGGTCTACTGTCATTACCAGTTCCCCTCACAGGTGGGCTAGAGGGGGACTGACAGCCCCATACCACAGCTCAGAAACTGCAATCCCAAGTGCAGCACCTCCCCGCCCTTCCAGCCCTGCAAGTACGGCAGTACCTTGTTTTGCAGTGCTTCACCCAGAGGAACCCAAAACAGGACATTGCCAGCCCCGTCACTGCCAGCAAAGCTCACTCTGTCTTACTGAAACACAGCACTAAACGTAACCCAGACACCATGAGAGACACATCTCTGTGACAAAGACCTTACTCTGAGCCCTAAGGAAACCTTTCCGCTGACCTCACAGGGTCCTGGCTTGAATCCATGGCACAAAAAGTAGCTTTTACTGCAGAAGTCGCTCTGGGTTTCTGTACAGTCCCTTTCCTTGCACTGAGACAGATCTGCTGTGTAGGCACCAGCCACCTTGTCAGCACAGGCGGCAGCCTCCTGGCATTGCCAGGAACAGCCCAGCAGCACCAGCCTGTTCATTTGCAATCACAGCTCAGTTTATGTTGGCCTGAATGGCTTTCAGATTACTGTGCAGAGAAAAATAGGCTATTTTCTGATTTTTAGTGTTTAACAACAGCAGCTAAATAATTGAGCAGCAACAACTCATCATTTTGATGAATGTTCCAGGTCAGTGAAGTTTTAGCTCCTGGTGAGGCCGATGGCAACTGTGCAACTGAAAATTCATGTGCGCTATCTTTGTGAAGACCTGTCTGAAGAAGGACAGAAGCCAAAAGGAGTCGTGTAATCTTTACTAACACTTCAGCCTTCCCCTCCAGTACTGTGGAGAGTCTGCCTACTTGCCCAGAGGAGAAATGCAAAGCAGAAAGCAACACCTCTCTCCTTCCCTGCAGAACCATGGCTGGCTGCCGTTTTTTTGTCACAAGGGCACTAACCACCCTCAGACTGCGTGATCTTGCCTTCCCTTGTAGGGCATTCTTGCTGGCAATTTTAAAGTAGGTATAAAGGACTGATGGCTATTGAGTCACTTCTCTCAAGCAGTGTGAAGAGCAATTCTGTATGTTCCTGGCTGTTTTATGCAGAAAAATTCACGAAAAGTCCATTATTATGTTACAGAACACATTAGGATAAAAAATATCTGCTACTTCATCACCCACACACATCATAACCACATCGTGTTCTTGTGCGAACACTCTTAACGTTGGCAGGCCCATGTACAGGCAATAGGCAACTCAGTGTGAAGCCAGGGCCAGATCCTGGCTCTGTGCTAGCCACTCTGTGCTCTCCAATATAACCAAAATTACAGAACCACCACCACAAGAGCCCCTGTCATTACAAAAATGCATTTTTCTTATTTTTGAGCACTGTGATAGTTTAAAATCTAATTTCTTAATACCTTTCCTGTGTGTTTACATAGAAAAGGACTCATTTGATTACAGAAAGCTACATTTACGTTAAAGCATGAGGGAGAACAAACCAGTGAATAGTATGATTAAGCTAGAAGATAGAAGAAACATGTTACTTCTGTATTATCATTTACAATACAACACACACTTTGTAACTAAAATTTGTTGTGGTTTAAACCCAGCCAGTAGCTAAGCCCTATACAGCCCCTTGCTCACTCCCCACCCCCAGCAGAATGGGGAAGAAAAGGAGTCTCTTACAGTACATTAGGAACATTGTTCTCTCTTCCAGTTCACTAACAAAATCCATGAGGAGGGAAGGAGGGAAACAGGGAGAGAGAGATTAAGAGGCAATAGCTAGTACAATTTGATGTCTTATATATCTGCATGCTTCCCAAACTTTTTCCTTCTTACCAATACTACTGTCTACTTTCCATCTATCATACAGTCCTTCTCTGCTGTTATTAGAAACTCAGGGTTTGCACAAACGGAGAGGTTGCTGTGAGCACACTGATTTGCCACACCATATGTAGAATAGCATTACATAAATACCTCATTTTAAGCTTCCACGCAGTTTTTAAGACTCTTTCCATCTCTAATCACAGAAAATCCACAGAGAAGCTCAAAACCCCCAGTTCAAGCACTATTAGCACATAAAAGTAATCATGGATCCTCATGGCAGTCTAACACAACTCAAGGAAACACCCTCATAGCAGAATTTCTTAAGAGTTCATAAGTAGATTACACATTTACTGTAGATGTGCAAAGAAGGCAGACTTAGCTGAAAAACGTGAAAATTCACATACTCACAGAAAAAGAAAAGTCAACACATGGTCAGTGAGCCAGACAGATAAATGAAGAAAAGCCACAGAGTATTTTGCAAAGGGAAAAGGATGTTAAGGCAGGTAGATTTGAGAATGGTAATTGGTCATGTCCTTCCAGGTTATTTCTGAGGGATGGGTAATGCTGGTCAGATCAATGAAACATAGAGACTGGAAAATTAGACCTGTGGAAGGTGCTTAGTATCAAAAAATGCACGCTAGGTGAATATATAAAAACAGAACATTAACTTAGGGGATCAAAAGTCGATCCCTGCCAAAACTTCAAAGGTGAAATTTGATGGTGAAAGAACAGAGGCAGGCTGTCAAAGAGGAACGTGTGAATGCCACAGCTTTGCTAACCATTCCTAGTCTGGCTAGACCTCTCAGAGATAACAAGGAAAGGCACTTCACATCAGAAGAAAAGGTTGTACATAGTGAATGGCAAGAAGAGAAAGGGGAAAGAAAACACCGTGTAGATTAAGTATCTTGAAACATCTGGGGGGCATTTGAGGCACAAATATGAATATTGAGAGAATGTTACATAGTAAAAATTATTTGAACACATACACCTGACATGACTAAACACAACTAAACATACATTCTTAGCCTTCCCCTCCCAAGGCAAAGATGCTGTCAGTCTTTACTGTATTTCCATAGACTGTTTTGATTTCAAACTTGCACGCTATTAAACATGTTACTTTCACAAACGAAGCATAACTGTGTATGTCTTCTGAATAACCAAGTGCCTTACTTTTAGTTCCATTTACAGTAGCTTA